CTAGTTTGTGGCATCCTTTAGGTCTCAACTGAAATACCATTTTTTAATCAAAGCCTTCTTTGGTCACTCGATATTAACCTCCCCATTCGCTAGTAGTAAGCAGTTTTTCTCCCCACATAGCACTTGCTACAACTTTTAATTGTTTATTTCTTGAGTTGTTTTTCTGCTTATTATTCACTCCTGTCTTTATGTTGAAAATGCAACAAAACCAAGGACTGTCAAATTTCTCATTCATCATTGCCTGACACATATTAGATGATCAATACATAATTTTAATTAGTGAATATGCATGAAGAAATAATGGTGGATAGTCTCTGAAATGTTAGTGCTTGTCTCTGGGCATTAAGATTTTTGGTCATTTTAAGTATCTTTCTTATATACTTCTGTATGGATACCAAAATTAATTTCATATTTCTAAATATGAAAATCTTCTGTCATTTGTACATATGTATGTATATATTAGCCAGAAATCTTCAGAGAAACAAAACCAATAGAATATGTAAAAATTTATAGAATGAGATTAATTATAAGGGATTTACCCACACAATTATAGAGGCCGAGAAATCCTGTAATTTTCTATCTGCATGGTGGAAATCCAGAAAAGTCAGTTATGTAGTTTCAGTCCAAGCCCAGAGGCCTGAGAACCAAGGGAGCCAATGATTTAAGTCCCGGTTCAAGTCCAAAAGCCTAAAGACCCACAGTGCTGATGTCCAAGAGCAGAAGATAGATGTCCCAGCTCAAGAAGAGAGAACAAACTCACCTACATCCACCTTTTGGTTCTATCCACACCTTCAACGGATTGGATGCTGCCCAGTCACACTGGTGAGTGTGATCTTCATATATATTCTCTCTCTCTCTCTCACACACACACACACACTCTGTGTCTGTGTGTGTGTGTGTGAGAGAGAGAGAGAGGGAGAATATACATATGAAGATCACACTCACCAGTGTGGCTGGGCAGCATCCATATATGAAACAGAGAGAGAAAGAGAGAGAGAGAATATGTGCTTTGTGTGCATTTGTGTGCTTCTTGTTTTAAAATGCCTATCTAGTCATATTCCTCCATAGCTTCACTGTCACTCACAGAATAAATTTTCAACACCTTAGAATAACATTCAAGTCTCTTACTACTTAATGTCCCTTTTAAATCTTACTTTTCTAGATTAATTTATCCTGACAGTTTACCCTGAGCTTCAACCACAATGGAAACTTCCCTGTCCAGGATGACACATTGAATTCACTCCTCCCTGAACTCTTACTAACAGTCCATGGTGTGCTTTTCTCTGTTTTTCTCCCTGTTGAACTCCCATTATATTCATATCAAAAAGATAGTATTTAGTCCTGTAAAAAGCTAGTTCCTACTAATCTGCATAGCTGATTCTACCTCTAGAGTGTAAACTCTTTAGGATGGGGACCTTGTCTTATTCAAGTTTGACTTTGCAGTCTAGAGAATAGTATATATTAGGTATCACATATGTAACTTGGTTAAGTTACAAATATCTTTTACAAACAGAATGTTTTGATTACGTTTTAATTAAAAAAAATAGCCCCCAAATCAGTAGCTTGAAACAACAGTTAGCATTGTATTAGCTTCAACTTTTTCTTTGGGTTAGGAATTTAGAAAGGACAATTTGGCTTCAAAATATTTGTGAGGTTGCAGTCAGACAATAGATGGAATTAGAGTAGTGAGAGACTGAGACAACTGGCTTGTCATCTTTCCCTCTCCATGCACTATCCAGACTTCTCCATATGGTCTCACCACATGGACTAGGTTGAGCTTCCTTACATAATGGCAGTGTCAAAGCAGTCCAGCTGCTCACATGGCAACTCAGGACTCCAGGAGTAAATGCTCCAGCTAACACAGAGGATACTTTATTGCCTTCTGCATTCTGGCTTCAGAAATCAAGTCAATCATCTCTGCTGCATTCTATTGGATAAGAGTGAGTCACTAAAACCAGCTGTAATTCTAAGGTTCTAAGATTCTATCCCGTGTCTCAATGGGACTGTCAAAAACTTTGTGAAGACATTCTGAAGTCCCCATACATTGTCTTCTGAACCATGGCTACACCCCCTGAGTAAACACTGGGTGTTTTACTAAAATTACTAACAATTAATGCTAGAACTATGTTATCAGCTTAAACCGAAGGCATACTCCTTGCACATACTTTTTCAGCCTGTTAAATAGAAAACAAACACAAGAAAGAAGAAAAAGCATCTGGAAGTGATAAGACTGCAGTTCTGTTTTTAATAATTTACAACTGATGCAGAAGCTGCTTTCTTCGTGTGTCAAAAGTTATGTTCCTCGAGATCATGTCCTTTGCAGGGACATGAATGAAGTTGGAAGCTGTTATCCTCAGCAAAATAACACAGGAACAGAAAATTTAGCACCGTATGTTCTCACTTAAAAATGGGAGCTGAACAATGAGAACACATGGACATATGAGGGGGAACAACACACACTGGGGTCTGTTGGTGGAGGGGTAGCGGGAGTGAGAGCATCAGGAAGAATAGCTAATGGACACTGGGCTTAATTCCCAGGTGGTGGGGTGATCTGTGCCGCAAAACGCCATGGCATACATTTGCCTCTGTAACAAGTCTGCATGTCCTGCATGTGTACCCAGAAACTTAAAATAAAAGTTGAAGAACAAATAAATAATAAAGTGTAAACAGTTGGGGGGGGGGAAGTGTGTTCCCATCCTAGATACACAGAAATCAAAGAGTTCTGTCGGTTAAGGAGTCCCTCTTTAGATCTGGGAGATGCTACTCAAGTAGATATATTGATGCTTAGTCCCAAATATATATAGTAGATTTTACAACAGTCAGGAATTCTGAAACCTGTTATAAGGCTTGGTTCTCCAATCCTGTATCAAAGACAGGTCTCAGGCAGCCAGGTAAAGAGCAAGCCCCCCATATTTCTTGTGAGAGATGGCAAAGTCCACCTCAAACTAGAGATTCAGCCAAACTTGATGGTTCTGGATGGCAAAGGGGACTTGAAGATCAAACAAAAAAATTTGGGAGCTCTGAACTTGGCTAACAGAGGACTCAAGGGAAGGGATAAGTTTCATAATTACATTTGTTTTACTCACTTGGGCTGCTATAGCAAAATACCATTGGGTACCTTATAAACAACAGAAATTTATTTCTCACAGTTTTGGAGGCTAGGAAATCCAAAATCAAGGTACCAGCACATTCAGTGTCTGGTGAGGTCTCATTTCCTTGTTCATAGATGGAACCTTCTCATACGGTAAAAGGGGCAAGGCAGCTCCTTGGGTGTCTTTTATAAGGGCACTAATCTCATTCACAAGGGATCCATCCTCATGACCTCATCACCTCCCAAAGACCCCACCTCCTAATACCATCTGACTGGTGATTGGATTTCAATGTATGAATTTTGCGGGGGACACAAACATTCAGAGAACAACAACATTAAAAAAACATGTTTTATAGATTTATGTATTGTACTTGTTTCGAGGGCTGTCCTATGGAGATGAAATTCAATAAAATATTTGCTGACTTCCTATTTATATGAGGCCCTCCACCTGACACAGATTGGTTGCAGAGAGCACACAATTTGGCTGGTTGGGAGGAGCACTGAGGTTGAGAGTTAAGCTGAACCCTTAGGAATGTAGAGTCTATCAGGAAGTCTGGTAAAGGTTATGGGCTGGGCACAGCTCATTGTTCCGTATGTGTAAACATGCATGCATGCTGGCTTTGCAGACAGAGTCTTGCTCTGTCACTCAGGCTGGAGTGCAGTGGTGTGATCTCTGCTCACTACAACCTCCAACTCATGGGCTCAAGTGATCCTCACACCTCAGCCTCCCAAGTAGCTGGGACTACAGGCACACACCACCACAGCCCGATAATTTGTGTATTTTTAGTAGAGACAGGGTTTTGCCATGTTGCCCAGGCTGGTCTTGAACTCCTGAGCTCAAATGATCCACCTGCCTCAGCCTCCCAAAGTGCTGGGATTACAGGCATGAGCCACTGCACCCCACCTGATTTATCCAACTTATAACCAAATGAGATACAGTTTTAAAGCTTTGCAACCCCCCAAATCAGGAAATTTAAATCAATAAAATAAAGCATTTATTAAGTCTAGAGTCTGCTTTTGGGAGGCAGTTAGGGTAATAGAAATTAGTACTTTGCTTGGCAGACCCACTTGGTGCCAGGCATTGTGCCATTGCACAATATCATTTTATTACTCTTCAGAATATGTGTTTGTGGTAGGTGTTATTTTTTGCATTTTATGTTGAAAAAACGGACCTTCAGTGAGGTCCATTAATTTACCTGAAGTTACAGAATATGGATAGGGGAGCAGGGAGTCAAATATAGGCCTATCTTGACTCCTAAGTACTTGTTCTTTTCATTATAACACACCATCTACATGTTTTGGCATTTGACAGAAAAGCTTGGTTCAATTCACATGCATAAAAGGAAATACGGAGATAAATAATGTTTTCTTTCTCCTATTTTTAATTTAAGTAACAGCATTGTGGAATGAAAAGAACAACCGAATATGAGTTCTGACTTCATCACTCATTGGCACTAGGTCTTTGGGTAGGTCATTCATTTTGCTCTTTCAAACCTATTTCTTCATCTGCAAAGTGGAAATAATAACCCTTCCTCTACTTACATCATGAGATTATTATGAAATGAAAACGTTATGTAGGAAAACATGCTGAAAACTTTTGACTCTAAATATTTCTGGTTTAAAATACTGCCCTCGTTAGTCATTTAGACATCGAATGGATCTATTTCTGGCCCACGGGGCCCCTCTGGCAGCATGGCTTTCAAAAGATGCATTGCTCATTGTAGAAGGAAAAATGTGTGGAGAGATGTCTGCTACTGCATTGCAGGCTGCCAACCCTACAGTCATGAGCTGTTATATGAGCTAGTTGCACTTTGGGTTTTTCCAACATTGAGATTCTTTGGGACTTGAGGAGGGTGCACTGCCATATGCACTGAGTGCCCCGTGGTAACTGGAGATGAAGGTGGCTTACCCTTCACCGGCATCATTATGGATCCAGGCCTGGCAGGTAAGTTCACATGTGCTACACCTACTGAGATAGAGGAGATCATGCAGCCATCCGTGGCTCTTACTACTGGAAAGGTGAATCGAGGCAATCATCTTTCACACATTTGTTCATTTAAACAGTAAACATTGATTGTCTGTGAACCAGATGTAAAGTACAAAGAAAAAATAATAAAAATGTAAGAACAAAGATAAATGAGGGATAATCACCAGCTGGGTACAATCCCCAGCAAGAGCAGCACATAGCCTTTGTAAACAAAGGATTATATATTTAAAATGTTGTGAGAATTCCAGACACCCTGGGAGCTACCACACTGCCCCATGAAGGCTGAGTGGGGCCAGGATGGGTTTGGGTTGCTTTGGTTGTAAGTTGTTCAGGCTAAAGGCACGAAGTTATATAAATCCAAACATATTCCTGAGCCTCATTGAAAGTAAAATTTGGGGACCCGATATTAGACATTATGTGTAAATGAAATTAAAAAGTCATAAATAGAGTGCTTTAGTCCATCTGAGCTGCTATAACAAAACACCGTAGATGGTGGCTAAAAACAACAGAAATGTATTCTCACAGTTCTGGAAGCTGAGAAGTCCAAGATCAAGGCATCGGTAGGTCGAGTATGTGGTGAAGGCCCTCTCTCTGGATCATAGATTGTATCCCCTCGCTGTGTCTTCACATAGTGGAAGGGGCAAATGAGCTTCCCAGGGCCTCTATTATGAGGTCACTTATCCTATTTATGAGGGCTCCATTCTTATGACCTCATCACCTCCCAAAGGCCTGACTTCCTAATACTACCATATTGGGTGTAGAGTTTCAACATATGAACTATGAAGGGGCACAAACATTCAGAACATAGCATATGGTATAACAAAAATGAGGGATACAAACCAGGGACTTAGCCAATGTTATGAATGGACCTGACCCCCGCAATGGCCAATGGCCAGTGGATCAGGAGTGGATTGTGCTGATGTAAAGACTTGGGAATAGATGCATACAAAATGCTATGGGAACTGAATGGAAAGCAACATTTGCAGTGGGTTTTGACAGCTCTTATAATGGCTCATGATTGCAAATGTGTGATATAAATCACACATAGAAGCTTTCCTGATATACAAAGGGTGTGGGGTGGGGGGGGTGCTTGAAATCCTAAGCAAGTGGACAACATATCACATAAAATAAGTGATTAAAAACAAAATTGGAGAATTGTGCCCTTTGGCACTCATTCGCCCTCCTATGTTTCTGAGATAATCTGGGTACTAAGCCACAGTGAAGAGAAAGGGCCACAAATATCTCCTATCCCAGAAGTCTTGCAGTAAGTTGAAAGTTCTACTTCAAGTTTCCTTTAAAAAACAAAAACAAAATTACTGATCCAGCAATCCTACTACTGAGTATATATTCAAAGGAAATGCAATCCATTATCTTGAAAAGATATCTGGACTCCTATGTTTATTGCAGCATTATTCAGAATAGCCAAGATATAGAATCAGTTTAAGTGTGCATCAATAAATAAATGGATTAAAAAGTGTGGTATATATACACAATGGAACACTGTTCAGCCTTCAAGAAGAGGGAAATTCCGCTTTGCAACAACATGAATGAACCTGAAGGCCATTACACCAAGTGAGATAAGCCAGGCACAGAAAGACAAATACTGTATGATCTCTTATATATGGAGTCTAAAAATACTAAACCCTTAGAAGCAGAGGGTAGAATGGTGGTTGCCAAGGGCTGCAAGAAGGAGAAAGATGGGAAGATGTTGGGTCGAAGGGTGCAAAGTTTCAGTTGTAAGATTAGTTAAGTTCTGGAGATTAATATACAGAATGGTCGCTATAGTTAAATAATGCTGTATTGTACAGTGGAAATTTGCTAATGAAACTGCTTTTGCACATGTTATATCAGGGAGAAAATTTAACAGTAAGCTAAACTAACCCAATCTCCATATTGCCTTTCCCTTAATTATTCTAGGGCTATTGAGGGGTGGGAGAGGCCAAGCATCTTAAATTGGAAACACGTATTGTTTATATTTGCTGGGAAGGGTGGGTTCATAAGGGTGAGAGGACAAGGGTTTGATAAGAAATGTGTCTTCAAATAACAGATGTACTCAGGAACCCAAAGCCTCTTGTATGTGACAGGTAATGAGGTAGGGTAGAGGCATGACTTCAGTCTGGATCTGAGCTACCAGGCTGGAGTTGTCAAACCAGGAGAATGAAGAAAACAATAAAAGCTTAACCTTAGTAATTAGAAGGAATGGCGGAATATAATTTTAAAAAGCATTTGGAATTGGCAACCAATTCTTTTTAAACTGGCAATGTTAAAAGTACAGCGAATAAATTGTAGTCTGAGGTCAGGCACAGACTGGATGGGGTAATTTTACAGAGAAATGCTGAAATGAATCTGAATCTCTCTAGAAGGCTTACGGCCTCTGTATTTCCCTCCCATCTTAGAAGCACCTGAAAGCAGGTTTCTAGGGGGAGAAAGTTGAAAAGGACAGCACCTATATGTAAGCCCTGAAGGGGCATGAACAGAAAGGCAAAAGCCATGTCTACCAGAGATCAAGGAGCCAGGAACTTGGAAGAGGATCCCATAGAGGCACCGGGGCCTGGGAAGAGGCAAACTACACACCCTCTGCTAGCACCTGCAACGTGCCTGCCTTTCAGGAGGGTACCCACGCCCATCATACGGTGCAGGGTCATGCAGATTGCTTCAAGTATTTCTGCAATGCTTCTCCAAGACTCTCTGGGTTCGCACTGTGCAGACTTAAACACACTATTTAGTTCCCCTCAGCCTTGGGGTCCTGACTTGTAAAAAGGAGAACAATCACCTCTCTCTTGCAAGAATGTAAAGAAAATTAAAGGAGATGTGTGAAATGCATTGTTCAGCAAGTTTTACATTCATAAAAATTATTGTTTTTTAAATTCCTTTTTATTACCTTTTTCTGCAACATCACGCAAAATAAAAGTTGCAAGAGGTAGAGATACATTCCTGAGAATTCTGATATGTTTCCCAGAGACTGGGTGCAGCTCCAGGCTCCTAAAGTGTGATGCATTCACCCCAGGGCTTCCTGGATGAAGCAACTCTGACACCAGGATCTAACTAGGCCTGGAGTTCTCTGCAGCCTGGAGGGTGGTTTCGCAGGGTGCAGGACTGAGGCAGCTCTTTGAAGATCCACATACAAATATAATGATTCGTATAAATATCTTTTCCCTCATAATGTTACCAGACTGTGGGATTTCATTTGCATACCCCTGATGATCTCATTATACACTATTTTATCTCCCCCTTTCTGTCTGTCCCCAGTTAATTGGGTCCTATGGTATTAATCTGTCTGAAAAAGCATCTTCTGCTCCTGAATTTCAGATTTTGACTTACAAGTGAGTTGGTGCTGATACAGTGATGTTATATGCAGATAGTAAGCACAGGAGGCTTCCTGGAGGCCTTATCTCCTTCCTTAATATCTGTTAAGTCAACCATTGAGGTTTTATCAGGCTATGCATGGTGTTCAAAAACACAGTAAGACTAAAGCTACCAACTCTTCTCATTAAGTTGATTCAATTTCAACTTTCCCATCAAGATGCTCTATCCCAGTGAACATTTGGTCTCATTGCCTTTTTATTTCCAGCTGTCAGCTTAAAAACAGTGACTGCTTGTTCACCTTTCTCATCCTGCAGCATCAGCGGAATTAGCCCCAGTGCTTCCTGTGCAAAAGACTCACCACCACCTTCCACCAGAGGTGCTGAGTCTGCACAGCTGGCCAAGTTCAGCAGATGGCTGGCAAGGGCTTCAGCTGGGGATTACGCTGGCTGAAAAGACACAGTCATGGAATGTTTGCTACAGGCACCCTCCTTGAATGGGTACCACTGCGACAAAGAAGCCCAGCATAGGAGGTCATGTAGAAGATGAGAGAGAGAATCAGGAGGAATGAAAAGAAAGGAGGTAGGAGGATGCTGTGTCTTGCACAGGGCCCTGTCTTGTTTGCCTAAAAAATATGCCTATCCTCAATTCCAGAAATATTCTCTTTTTGCTTTTTTATTCTCATTAAATGTTTTGTAAAAATCTAACTGAAATCCACTCATTGAGTCCTGTTTCTCCTCCCCTTCCTCACGTTCACTCACGCTCACCTGTCAATGCTCAGTTTTCCTGACACTTTCCTCTTCCAGTCCCACACTTTCAGCCTGGGGGCTGCGACCTTTATTTGTGCTCAAGCACCCACACACATAGTCCCATCTTAATGCATGCCACATTGAACTGTCATTGTTGACTCACTTGTCTTTCCTACCTGAAGTCAGACCCTCTAGTTTATTCATCTCCGCATCCTCATTGCAGGGCTTTGATCAAAGAAAAGAGATGCACCAAGGCAGGGATCAACCCTTTAGTGACCCCAGTGTCTGCAGACTCTATGAGAAAATGATGCAGCCAGATTACCCAGGTGCAATGGATTGCATGCTGAGCTATGGTACTGTAACCAAGAACCCCCACTTCTCTGAGAGTATGTTTTTCTCCCTCTCTCTTCTTTTCTCTTTTTCATATTTCCTCACTTCCTACTTAGCCCTTTAGAAATGCAAACATAGCTTTGAACCCCCCCTTCACCAGACACTCCCTACAGAGCAAGTTAATCTAACCATGTGCTTAGGAGCTCCAGAAAGGATCTCTCACCCACCAAGAAGTTGTCTCAAGAGATAACAATTGATTGACAACTTAAAGTATGCCCACCCACAAAGACACCAACAGTAACCAGCTTGACCACCCACTAGATAAGGCACCAAGCTAACACGTGCCCCCCCCCACCTCCTTGCTTTCCCCCTCTCCCAACGTGCTACTCATGTTAACCCCCCTTTAAAAAATGCCTCCTTTCTGCCCCAGGAGTGAAGTGGTACTCGTAATGCAAGAGGCTGTACTTCTTCCTTTAAGCTAGTTTTGGAATCAACAATCATTTTCTTTATATTAATACCAGACCTTGTTATTATTAATTGAACTCTGTAAGCAGCAAGCAACAGAACCAGCACTGCATTCTGTTTTGCATGATATTAAAATACCATCATGCCACTCAGGGTTTTCAGTGAGCCCAACACCATTCCTGACAGGCTGTAGATTTTAAATAAAGTTTTGTTGACTCAATGAACAAATATTTGAACAGATGAATAAAGGAGCAAAAGGCATAAATCAACAGTTTTCACTTAATTCATTGCTTTATCAGTAAGCCTGTCAAAAGAGAAAATAAGATAATACTTCAGATAAAACACCAGTTGGAAATCACTAGCCTAAGTTAGTGAAAATCTATGAATGCAAGTCTCTCAGAGTAACGTAAGTGACATGAAAGAAACATTTATGTGCTTGAGGTAGGCAGTTTTGTCAGAGGCATTTGAGCCAAAGCGACTCCATTTTGAATGAGAGCTGGGAAAATGAAGCTGAGACTTATTGGGCTGCATTCCCAAAAAGTCAGGCATCCCTAGCTTCTAGATGTTTATGGTTAAGGAAACAAATTAGTAATGTTTACTAAAAGAGACTCAGACTTGGGAGTGTCCAGATATCCCGACATCTGGAGAACAAAGGCATTCCTAATTTTGCTTTAAAGATAATACTATCAATCCTTGCAAAATATAGTCATTAAGAAAATCACTCCTTTATCACAAACCCTTGTAGCAGAACACATCTCCCCATATATACAAGCATTGTACCTGGGGTGGATGCATTCCTCCTCT